GCAAATTTAATGCAAATGTTGGCGAATGAAATTCCACGAACGTCGTTTTTCGTAACATTCGTGAGTTCTAAATAGAGACCTGACTGCGGGATTTTTCCCCGCAACAACTCTCGATCCCTCAACTAAAACCATCTCTCCACTGTCTGACAGCCAATCTTCACGCACGCACGAAACACATAAATCATTCGAAACATCGCGCAAATCCTTCCCATTCGTTTAATCGCAAACGCTCGTGTATTCCTCGATTAATGTTATTTTGAGTTCTATTTACTCGAGGCTGATGGGAAGTAAATACGTAAACTAAAATTGCTGGGAACGAAGTACATGCTAATTACGAGCGATTACGTTGGTTCCCATACAGTTCGTGAAGCAGAAATTTCGCGTAACTGTAACAAAGTTTAAAGAAACGTTCAAAGAAATGTTTGCAAGAATTTCAGGAATATCGTTACAAGTGTCCTTACAATTGACACAATTTTCTATACAAATATCTTAATATAAAGTGTCCTTTACTTTGTATACAAGTGTCCTGTATGTACAATAATCGCGGAATGTTAACGTGTGTATCAGAATGTCACCTTGCTCATTAATGTCACGGTCCCTTTATACTTGTCCGTTCGTCAAGAGGTGTGCCTTAAGGGGGTATTCTAATAATTACGCCGAAAAATTCTACCTTCTTCTGCTATTTCTGCTTTTACTGTTAATATTTTCTTATTAGAGGAGGACTAAATATGGGCTAGTTGAAGTATTGAATATGTTCAGTGCTTGACCCTATTGAAAACAGGACGAAACTACGAGTTATAAACAAAATAAGTGTTGTCGAGGAGATAGTGACCTGCATTTATTTTCTTTACGCGTTGTATTGCAAAACGTGTCATTTCTCTTATTTCGCTATTTCAAAACATTTTTCAGGTAAGTTAGAATATCATCTCTAAGCCTTCCTGCCCAAATGATCTAAATATGGGCTGCAAAGCTAGTAGCTTTATAATATGGGCTAATATGGACTAGCCAATATTAGAATTCGGTGACTATGAGAATTGTGATAAGAAAAATACCAAAACATTAAAAAGAAAAATATTGTGAGGGGGTTTTGGTATGAAAGAGTGAATGTGAGAGTTGGTGTGAATGGCTTGGAAAGGAAGAACGAATGGAAGACGATCATGCGTGGCGTGTTTGTTATGTTTAGACAACATGGGTTGTCAAACCGATCGCGGCGTGTGTGAGTGTGTGTATGTGGATGCGTGCGTAGGGAAACGGAAGAAGAGTGTGAGGTGTGTGAGTGTAGAAAAAAACGAGAAGCATCAAGCCGGAAGAGAACGAATCGGAGCAGCGGTGAGAAAAAAAAGAGAGGCAGATTATAAGTGAACAGCACCGGCATCGCGTGGGGTTACTTTTATTTCTAATAAACGCAAAAGTATTTAACAAAATCCCACAATATATAAAATCTTGAAAGAGATATATACGTTTGTGACTATTGTAAATCAGCTTATTTCGATTTGGTATCACACAGTAAACATGTTATCGACATTCATTCAAGTGTTATACCTTAAAAATCATCCACAGGTTTGACGATAAATCCTGAACTAAAAGTGGTAGCCAATATTTAGACCTTCTCCTCTATTTCGTTCGTAATGAATCACGAGACGTCTACTATTATTCGTACCTTGAATTTGAAGCTGAACCACACAGCTGAATTCCGTACAGCACCATGTCAAGAAAATCAAATATTCAAGTCCTGACAAATATCAAAGATGTCGACCCTATCGTAACCTCAGGATAATTCGCCACCCTGACAAATAACATACATACGTGTGCATCGAAAGAACCAAAAAGCAACGAGTTAACGAATGGACGATGCGAACGAATGTATCGTTGAAGCAAGTCCACGTGCATACATACACATACATACGTATAGAATTCGATGCACATAGAAGCTCAGCTGTACCACGGACACCTACGATGGTCAGTGACACTTTGGGTAACATCAAAGGAAGCAGAGAATGTGAGTTAATTTCGCAGCAAGGGTGGCCGGAATGAGGGTTAAGAGAAATAGAGGAGGGAGAGAGGATCGAGAGAGAGAAGGATACGAGCGATAAAGTGGGAGAGACGGAGCGTCGCCACCGAAAAAGGGAACCGTCATGCATATTCAAAACGAGGGTTTACATCCCCGCGGTTTGCCGAGTTAGTCGGCCTGGCCAAAAAGAGAGGAGCTCGTTTATTTCTCGCCACCGTTTCGCTCTCACGACTTCCTTTCCGCGTTACTCTCCCTTTCGAAAACCCGTTTCTCCCACGATCGGTGCTTTTCTTTTTCTCGCTGTCAAAGGCGTGATCCTCTCGCAATCGTACGACAGTCATTGGAACACGGTTGCAAGGGACTCTGCGAGAGATTATTATTTTATCAAGACTTGCACGAGCACACAGCCTTTTGCACAGAGCAATCCCTACGAGACCTTATTAGGAGCACCGATCAAGAGTCGCTGTGCACGTTGCATACGCGTACAGACACAAAACACAGGAACTTACGAGCTCCTCGAGCATGGTACATCTTTATCGTATATTCCGTTGCATGTTACGTCGTTCCTATTGTTCCGCGAGGGACGGAAATTTCCTCTGGTTGCGGAATTTATCCGCGAGCATTTCACGCAGTCAGACTGAATAGGTCGGGGTAAATCGTTTATTTTAAGATCGACGCGCCGGGGACGTTTATACGTGGGTATCTTTAAGGAAAGACGTATTACGAGGCGGGAATGCACGAATCGCGCGTACTTGGAGACGGTGGAAAAAAACATGATTGAGCTGTTCTGTCGTTGAGTCCCCCCGTTGGGATAGAGGAATACCACACCTGCAGCATACTACTTTCAGCCCGAAGAAAAAAGCTTCCGGCTGGCAATGGTTTATTTATCACGAGCAACAACAACCGCCTCTCTTGTGTCCATGATAGCCGTGTCGCGAGGGATTTCTACGTAATTGAGCGGCTTTTCGCGAGAGAATCGCGTTTCAAACGGACGAGAGTTTAATGGATGTTCCAGCCTGATAAATCAGACGATGAAATTTGCCGGTGTCAATGGAGGGAACAGCTTATATTTATCAAACTGTTCGTACGAATTAATTGACCATTTCCAAACTAAACAAGGCATCGCTCTATTCGCGAGAAACGGTGTCTATAGAACGGTTCTATCCACAGGAATTATTGGAGCCTCTACCAAACCAGCGAACTCAAGTTAGACAAGTCAATCTCCCTGGTGTCACTGATAAACGCGATCGAAGAGATCTTTGTCCCAGCTAAATCGATACAAATTGACGATTCAAGATTCGGGGCTGTACCTCTTTGTCCACTCGGCGATCGATCCTGTGTAACATCTCTCCAGTCTCTGATACCCTCGTCTCGTCAGTCAACGTGAACCCGTTCTTATCGACCAGAGACTTCTGAAACGGTGTAACTGCACACTCGTCTGGTAACCGTTGCAACTTCTATACGCCTTTGTCGGTCTCGGCACTTCCGCCTTGATACAATTTAAAGGGACGCTAACTTCCACCCGCTGCTACGTATAATAACAAGGACGAAGGAGACGGTGATATGCGGCGTTAACGAGGTTTAACAACAAAGTTTCCCGCCTGTGCTAAGACCGAGAGCTGCTGGAATTTTGCCGTACGTGAAAAAGCTAGGGAAGTTGGAGCAGCCGTTATCTGCTTTGGGTTATGCAATTTCACGCGGCGGCAAATTGAGCGACGTTGTTCCGGGGTTTAAGCGACGCTATCCGAGTGTTAACCTTTGCAAGTAGTAGAACTTTCTCTAAGATACGGTGTATCGTTGAAAAGTAACGTTCGATTGAGATCAAACGATCGATGGTTAGCGCGGATCGTTATAGAGCGAGGTTAAAGTACAACCGGTTCAGCCGTGATCAAAGTATTACGCAAGCTCTCTTGAACCTTGTTACTCGAAGAACGTGAACCTAGGAGGACGGAACGTTGGCCGTGATATCGCGGAGAAAATAATTCGAAAGAGAAAAAGAAACTGTCGAAGAAGTATTTGATGTTTCTCTCTCCGGTACGTCTGTTTAATACAGTCGCGTTCCTCGCGTTGTATTTCTGTTACCGGTGGCTGTAGATCAAAGTGGCGTGTTTGTTTATTTTCGCGTATAATCCGTCTGCGAGCATAGATCGGTGTCTTGGCTTTATTCGCGGGAAAAAAAGGGTATTTATACCGTCTGATTCAAACTTTCATTTTCCGCTGGGGCATATTTGGAAATATCGCGGGAGGCAGAGTGTGTGTATGGCGGCACGTTAAAACCGCCGGGGTCGAGTTTGCGCGCCCGGGCGAACGATTTTTCGTTGCCTTTTAAAGTTATACGGGAACGTGTTCGATGACACGAAAGAACATTTGACACGTAAAGCTGTCGGGAGAGAGAAAGAGAGGAGGGGGAGGTCGCAATTCTGACTATCTGTGGCCTGAATTCGTAGCCAGACATCCGTGAAATGAAATAAAGTGCCTACTTGATTTCGAATGGTGATTACAGAAGGAAATAACCACACGGGCGAACATCAATTCCACGCTTTTATGCGTCTCAATTAAAATTATACAAATACACCGCCCCCACCGCTAAGTACGTTTCCATTCAAGTGTGTCCGTCGATTTTTGGACTCCGCGCGTCCAAGTAGAATCGTCCCGTACCTGTTCAGACCTAAGCCTAAGACCGGTTCGTTACGGTTTAGCCTAAGAGCCGGAGCAACAACTCGAGGCTACCGAATCTTTTCTCAAAGGAGATCCTATTTTTACACGATCGTACGTTCGAAATAATTCACCGGGGCGATCGAATGGCAGCAGGTACCGTTTTTACTAACCGAGCTAGAGCCAGAGCAGCGGAGAAACACCGAGCGGCGAGCGATGGGACGGCGGCGGCACATGCGCGCAGGAGAAAAGGACGGTATCGAGCCAGGCTGGTTGCTTGCCCGTCAACAGACGGTGTCGCACCGTAGAAACGCGCGCGCTCCTCCATCGTTCGCTTCTTTTTTTTTTATTTTCCCGAATTGTCAGAGAGAGAGAGAGAGGACAGAGGTACCGCGTGTGTGCGTGCAGCCCGGTGCAAGAGGACACGAAAAGGAAGAATGTGATCCTGTCGGCCAGTGAGAAAAATTCCTGCGTACCGTCCCCTGTTCAACCGGTAGTTTCACACACGCACACGGTAAGAGACGACGACGAGAGGTGTGACACCTTGTGCAGCAAAATTTCAATTTTACTACCAACGTGTCGTCGTAGTACGCCCATGTGTGCCCCCGATAACACGGTGGGATATGTACGCGCGTGTGTGCATGCGTGTATGTCTGACATCGTGCGCGGACTCCGTCCATGGTTACTGCACGTCACGGACACGTTGCGCTTCATCCGGAACCTTGGCTCGAACCTCGGCTGACCGTATAAAAACTATCGGCGGATGTTTTAGAAAATTTACGTAGAATAGCGGCGTACACGTCAGTGGCGTGGCGTGTCCGACAGAAAGCGAGAGAGAGATAGATAGATAGATAGAGAGCTCTCGATTCGATCAACTTGTGTCTGGCGAACGCGCGTTTCGAACGTAATTGAAACGTTGCCGCAGTAAAACGAGGTTTTCTTTCCAGTCGGAGAGATAGCCGTTAACATCGTCTAACGGACATACGCACGTACACGCTCTATCTACTCCTTTTCTACTCTCTATCTCTCTCTCTTCCTATCTCCGTCTCTGCCCAACCACGCTATACCCTCCCTCGCTTCGTCCACCTCCCACCTCCTTCTGTTTGTCTTTCCCGTGCGTTTACGTGCGCCGCTCATGCGTGCTGACACACGCTGAGCATTGTGTTCAATGCGTGTCGCACAATCGCGTGGCACACACACACGCAGGCACACCTACTATGCACGTTCACGTGTGAACGTGTGTATCGCGGCGAATAGCTAGCGTAACGAAGTCGACCATTTGCTAATTATGATAACAGCACGATCAACGAACGATCGACTTGCACACGGGGTAAGAAAAGGGGCGGGAGTGAGGGGAGGAGGGAGAGAGTCGACGGGGATCCACACGACCCTGACTGCAGGCCTCCCGAGGGATTTTCGAGGTCAAGGGAATCAGAAGCGTGGCCGAGAAATAGCGAGGCAAACACACTCACGCACTCACACAGAGTACCATGGAATAGATCTGAACGAGAAATGTCCCGTCCATTACGAGATATTGGCTCGCGGTCGATCCCTTCGGTCACCTTACCATCCTGGATATTAACTTGTCATCGACCATCAACCACTTTATCTACGCCAGCTCTCCCCCTTCTCGCTCGTGTTTCCCGCTTTTCCTCACTTTTGACCTTCTCGTCGGAAGGGGACACTGCTCGGCTGTGTGCAAAAGCGCAGAAGGAACCTCTATCTTGGATATTACGCTCGTTAGAGCCATGGAAACGCGATTGTCAGTCGTTTCGGATGGATTTAACGGATGGGAGAGTAGCGGTACCGTACTTCGCACCTTGCTCACAGGTGATCTCATCAGACAGACTCTGAGAAAGCCTTTAATTCCAATGTTTTTCTTCCGTCACATACACATGTCGTCGTATACACACGTACACTGTGTTGGTAATAAGTAATTGCCTACTTACTTGCTTCGTTGTGTGTTATTTCGATCGATTGAACCTGCCGACATTTCTATCAGACCCGTTACATCATTGACACGGGCAATTATCAGTCGGACAATTTGGAAATAATTGTTCGCCGAGTTCGCAAACGGGAGAGAGAATTAAAGTTTCACGCGTTACTCGAGTAACTCGATAACCAGCCGAACCGTCTCATTGTCTCTCCTTCTCTCCTTTCAGCCTATGAAGAGTGACGAGACGCCGCTTCCATTACAGTCAATACGGGTCATGATCCTCATTTATTCCCGTTCCATTATTCTTAACACGACGCGTATTGAGAGATAAAAGAACGGTCAACGTCGTCGCGGCGAATCACTCTTGGTCCGTCCTTCAACTACTGCACCGGAAGTTGTGTGTAATTATCGACTCGACGAGCGATAATTGAACCACGACCACTTGTCGATTAAGTCGACCGCGTGAATTTCTTCTCGTTCTACCCGGCGCGCGGATACTCGCTGTGAGAAATCCAAGTTAACACGGGCATTCATCGGCTGTACAAATATTTTTCCACGGCGTTCCACTTATGTGTATCAAAGTGTAAATGTTTGCCCTGTATTTACGAGCGTATGTGCGCAAAGTGTAATGGCCACTTCACAAATAATGCCGCTTTCAAAAAAAAGGAGAACCCTCGCTCGGTGAAAAGCCAAACGGGAAAGCTACATACACCAAGCGGTTAACACACACACGTATCACGTGCCTACTTGTATTCTCGCGTTTAGACTGATTACATCTCCAATTCCATTCATTTTCAGGAACCCGCTCAGGTGCAATAATTTCATTCATTCCCGGTGAACGCAGAATGAAGACGTTACGTAATATTGCATAAGAATACGGTGTACACATAAGTCGGATCTTTCTTGATACAACGTGATTGCCCGTACACACATATACACACGCATACGATGCATCGCTCGTTTAATGTCTCTCTCTCTGTGAAATAAACACTTGCGGATTATAATGCCACGATGGTATTTATGCTACTCGCGGTAGAAGGTCGAAGCTTCCTCTTTCTTCTCGGATAACTTTAATCGCATTTGTCGAGCTTGTTTTCAAAAGCAAAGCAATTCTATCGGATTCTATCGACCGCGTCGAAATTTTGCGCAATTTAACGAGTTCCCTCTCCGTTCATTTGTAAACGCAACCAAGTAGTGCTTTTCCGTTTCTTCTCTTTCTCGCAAACTAGGTCCCTGAGCGGTTAGGCAGGTCTCTGTGTACAATTGAACGTTCGAATTTTAATATATCCCGTTGATTGAAATACGCTCGGGGATCAATACTCCGCTGGCCCTCTTGACGCCGCCTAGGAGAACGCAATTTCCGGTATTCCGTGAAACGAATAACGTAAATCGCGGAACGTGCAAACGATACCGCTTAATCAGATGCAAGGAGAAATGTCGCGATAGGAGAAGTTTTACGAGCGGTGTTTTTGCCCGGTGGTAGTACGTCCCGCAAGATTACGACATCCTCTGAGTTTCTTCCGCTTTCACGACCGAAATACATACTTGTTCCACACTTGCCCATTAAGTAGGCCCGGGAGCGACTGCGCGCTTATGATACGTCGTTAACGCGGCCGCTTCCTCAGAATTCGTTTACTGTCAGGCGCCAGAAAAGACGTTTTCATCGTGCCAACGAAGAAACACCAGCACGAGCAGCACTCCCACATTATTTTCGTAACGCTCCTCTGTTTACACGCCGCCTCTCTATATACTACAGCCTGTTCGTATAGAGGTGTGCTGTGTGTATATACACCGGTGTGAGACACAAGCCGAATGGACTGTAGTAAAGAATACGCTCTTTTATCCGCGTATTTTACAACGTCCAATCGCACTTTATTGTTATTGTTATTTTGCCGTTGTTGTACCGCCTTGTATTACGCGGTGAATGTTAGAAACAGAAAGGAAGTAGAAAGTAGGGGTAAAATTGATAAACGAGAAAAGAAAGGGAAATTATGGTTTAAATAATGTATTTAAACTGAAATAAACACTTGCGGATTATAATGCCACGATGGTATTTATGCTACTCGCGGTAGAAGGTCGAAGCTTCCTCTTTCTTCTCGGATAACTTTAATCGCATTTGTCGAGCTTGTTTTCAAAAGCAAAGCAATTCTATCGGATTCTATCGACCGCGTCGAAATTTTGCGCAATTTAACGAGTTCCCTCTCCGTTCATTTGTAAACGCAACCAAGTAGTGCTTTTCCGTTTCTTCTCTTTCTCGCAAACTAGGTCCCTGAGCGGTTAGGCAGGTCTCTGTGTACAATTGAACGTTCGAATTTTAATATATCCCGTTGATTGAAATACGCTCGGGGATCAATACTCCGCTGGCCCTCTTGACGCCGCCTAGGAGAACGCAATTTCCGGTATTCCGTGAAACGAATAACGTAAATCGCGGAACGTGCAAACGATACCGCTTAATCAGATGCAAGGAGAAATGTCGCGATAGGAGAAGTTTTACGAGCGGTGTTTTTGCCCGGTGGTAGTACGTCCCGCAAGATTACGACATCCTCTGAGTTTCTTCCGCTTTCACGACCGAAATACATACTTGTTCCACACTTGCCCATTAAGTAGGCCCGGGAGCGACTGCGCGCTTATGATACGTCGTTAACGCGGCCGCTTCCTCAGAATTCGTTTACTGTCAGGCGCCAGAAAAGACGTTTTCATCGTGCCAACGAAGAAACACCAGCACGAGCAGCACTCCCACATTATTTTCGTAATGCTCCTCTGTTTACACGCCGCCTCTCTATATACTACAGCCTGTTCGTATAGAGGTGTGCTGTGTGTATATACACCGGTGTGAGACACAAGCCGAATGGACTGTAGTAAAGAATACGCTCTTTTATCCGCGTATTTTACAACGTCCAATCGCACTTTATTGTTATTGTTATTTTGCCGTTGTTGTACCGTCTTGTATTACGCGGTGAATGTTAGAAACGGAAAGGAAGTAGAAAGTAGGGGTAAAATTGATAAACGAGAAAAGAAAGGGAAATTATGGTTTAAATAATGTATTTAAACGATATAAATTTCCATACGATTCTGTAAATTCTCAGAACGACTAACTGGTTTCTAATTTTTTGAAATTTATAAAAATCATGAATGAAAAAATTCTTGATATTGTATTACGCGGTGAATATTAGAAGAAGGAAAGAGGACAGAGAAATTAAGGGTAAAATTGATAAACGAGAAAGGAAAGGGAGATTATGGTTTAGATATATAAAATATATGACGGTTTTTAAAATAATGTACCTAAACGATATGAATTTCCATAATGTTCTATAAACTTTCCTCAACGAGTAAGTAGTTTCTAATTAAATAAAACAATTTTTTGAATGCTGCTTTTATAGTGTCCTCGTTTTGGAATAATTTATTCGTTAGAAGAATTGTTCAGGTGTTTGAAGAAATAGTGAATAAGAGAAGATGTGACAAAATTTCATATTTATTTGTAGATTATTTTCAATAATTTTTCTTAAAACGTTATTATCGACAGTCTTATCTAGTCTTCCTCTTGGTTCACTTTCCAATGAAAAGTCATCAATCTTGAATTTTGTCCACCAACAAGTTGAAGTGTCTTAACATTCGTGTAATCTTCTTCAAATGTTAAATCTATATTTTCAGCAGTTTTATCGCATTTTCTCCAAGTTTAAACTAATGTAAAAGAAATAACGCGAAGATCCCTATTATTCATCGTGTCAGATAATATCTAGTGTCCAAGCAATTGTATTATGAACACTTTTCGTTGACTATTGTGTATAAAAATTTGTGATAGGACAGAGTTTAATATACGCTATCAACCCGCTAATCTCAACTGTTGAGAAAACCATATTTCATTTGAGCCAACTTAAAACGTACATACGGTGACTCTTACTAATATTCGGACACTCTTTAGGACAGTATAACTTTTGTAAAATTGGACTTAACGACTTGAGTTTTTTTTTTTTTGGAAGTTAGAAGGATTAGTATGCTAGATGACGCGTATAAAGTTTTTAGAAAAAATTGCAATTTGTGGGAATCGCGAAGAAAATTGTAAAGGTCACATTCGACAACTTTTTTATCTGAGCCCGTAATGAAAAAATACGTTTTGTAGATTTATGCCAATTATACGCATGCTGAAAATTTGATCGAAATCGGTTAATGTTACTACGAGCTACAAATCGTTAAAGATTGTGAAAATCGCACTATTTCACGACGTTCGGCCTGTAATTGTAATAAATCTGAAGATTCCTACATCTTTCGATGCCTGTCGCTTGTTCCTCCATCTACCGATTTCGATGAAATTTTCAGCATGTGTATAATTGACATAAATCTACAAAACGTATGTTTTAAATTTTCGTTACAAGCTCAGGTAAAAGAGTTGTAAACAGTGACCTTTACAATTTTCTTCGTGATTCCCACAAATTGCAATATTTTCAAAAAATTTTATACACGTCATCTAGTATACTAATCCTTCTAACTTCTCGAAAAAACTCAAGTCGTTTGATCCAATTTAAAAAAAGTTACACTGTTCTGAAGTGTGTCCGAATATTAGTAAGAGTCACTTGATGTAATTTTGTCTTATTAATTTTAAATTGCCCTTTCCTTCCGAAAAGCACTTTCGAATTGATACTAATGTGTTCCTCGAAAAGAGCATATTAAAGAGCAATTATGAACGTTCGCATTGAAATCAGGAGGACTAGCGTTATAGGAAATGTATAATATAATGGAAGCGTGTCGTTTCCTTTTAGATCTTAAGCGTACAGATCGCTTTGCACTACTCTGTATTTTACTTTCTGAAAAACGAACGACATTACATTCGCACTAACCTAATAGAACAAATTTTAACGATTTTTCTATATTATGCAAAAGTTTCCATCGCTTGGAATCGATAGCACTAACAAATACTGTACGTTTCTTTCCTTATTTAACCCCTTAACTTGCACGCTCGAGTTAATTCGAGCGCGCTAAACAGGCCAAACTGTGCACACTCGAGATAATTCGAGCGGCGTTGTATTTGATGCTGCTATAATTTTTCACACTCGAATATATTCGAGAATTGAAAATAACAATGTGAAAGCTAAGAAAAAGAATCGTGTTATTGATATTTATCATTTACATAGGATTGTAAGCTATAATACTTATTTATTCGAAAATAAAATATAGCCTTTTTCCATGGAACAAAAGCGCAGTATATCGAAATTGTCCACTAAAAGAAAAGTTGAATCAGGAGTGATAACAAATGGAAACCTTTGAGGATGTCGATTTGGTTGGACATTGCTTATCTCCTTCCAATCAATGGCTATATCTTCTTGATAACAAATGTTTTTGTTGTGTTTTTTTGCCAAAACAATGTTCTAAAGTTTGTTTTTTTTACATTAAAAAAATTGATTTTTTTTGGCCGGTTTTTTTCAAAAAAACTGTGCGTTAAGGGGTTAAACTTTTACAGTTGGTATTTAGGAGAATACTGTAGTTAATTTAATATACTCAATGCAGTATCAATACTGTATTATTATTTTGATAACGACTAATTATAAATACGATTTTAATATTTTTAGTATTTTAATAACGACTGATTACAACGAAATTCTCCAGAAAAATACAGTGGAAACTTTTGTACGGACCTAAGAATTCGATATTCTAACAAACTAGTCGTTCCTATCTATTATAAATCAATCGTCACCATTACTGTTATCATTATCATGCATACATACTCGCGTTCGGCATTGAATATTCAAAAAAGAAGACGGAAAAAGCAAGGCTAAAGGTAATAAATGAAAACGAAAGGAAAATTATGGTTCAGATGTCAAATGAAGGTTTAACTTCCTTTTTTTTTACTTTAATTCTAATTCTTATCACTATACACCTTTAGTTATCACACAACCTGCTTGACTTTCTAACGAATTAGTCACTCAATTAAATCGCTCGTAACTCTTGTCTCCACATGATTAACCTGTTACCTGCGTACACCTTTCGGACACAAATTCAATCTCTCTAGTTTACAATTAAAAATGAGTAAAAATTACAGCCAATGATATAAATACGACGCATTTTACAGGCATAACGGCGCGATTAAAAATGAATAATCACCCAATAAATAAATAATTGCGTTCTAAGTACTGGCCTAACCAACGACGAGTTAACTCGTCTTTCACAATTAACAGGTTAACGATATTTCAAAGGGGGCGAGATTTATTTCGATACGATGAACCGGTGAAGAAGTTCGCCTGAAAAGGAAACAGCATTAGCGGTAACTTCCACCGAGAATATTGATGGCCGAAAACACACTGCTTTTATTCCGATTGGAGTCAGACTACAAGGGACGTTCCTTAAAACTCGGAAACTCGAGCATTCCGAAAATATCTACGAGTCTGCCAGTTCTTTTCATTACACCTCTTTTTCCCCGACTTTGTTCATCCTCCCACCTCCCACTTTTCTTTTCCTTTGCGCTTTAACCGGATTTGTTGGTTCGGTGTTTAGTCCCGTGGAGAACCGTGAAATCGATTTTCACGGTCGAAACCTTGTTTGTTCCACGGTGGAACGTGTGTAAATGTTTAAAACAGAGAGGCGTGGAAAAATATCGAACCAGTGTGCGCACCTAAATGCTACCACGATTGTTTTACTTTCCGGACCCGGGGGTACAGAGAGCGAAATTCCACGGAACAATGTGTAAAGAAATACACGAAGGTGTTTTCGTAAGAAGCGCCAGAGTTCGAATATAAAATGGACAGACGTCATTGGTTCGCATCTACAAAACTTCCTTTTGCGTCAATTAAGATAAGTCTGTGATAAGACGTGGCCGGGATATCCGTGGACGATAGCAGAGTATTGATAGGTGCTCGACCTTTCTCGTTCTTAAACCATAGATAAGTTCACAGTTATTGAATAATAGTCGGTGTTGCCGGGAACGATACGCATATTATTAATTACAACGCGCGTATTCGTCTCCGTCGGATGTTTCAACGCTGGTAAACATTGGCGAGAGTAAATCTCGAATATATATTGAACAAACACTATTTCCGTCTTCGCTTATAAATTTTCAATTGGCGGCAAATCGTGTGATAGATCTCACCTACGGCTCGATTCCGTGGAATTCTGTAAATATTTCACGCGATCCGCGTGAATTCGTGTAAATCGAGAATCGAATGGAAACGTTAGAGACCGGAAACGAGGTAACAGTTACATGGAAACGATGTTTGACAGCGACGTGAAATATCCACAGTGGATTGGTCATAAAGTTCAGTGAATTCAATTTGTAAACCGACCGCTATATATAGAATCGTGGAGACCTTGACTCCCACCGAGCCAGTAAGAAACTACATTACAAACTTTAGTCGATCATTATTGCCTTGTAGGTGCAGCCGGGGAATTAAGATGTGCAAGCCAGCCAGGAAGAAAAGATCTTAACGTGGTAAGTGGTTCACACTTCGTTTTACCTTCTCTCATCTACCGTCCACGACGGATGGAAGTTCAACGGTGATCGTTTATTTGGAGTTGGAAGAAAGAAAATTTCAAACGGTTATCTGGATAGCGAGATATCTTGCGTGTTTGAATATTTCGAAGAGTGTCTTTAGACCAGAAAGATAGGCGTGTGATAGGATTTTTCGGGTAAATGCAGCGTGGGTGTCCAATCTTTTGGCTTGCCTAGGCCACATTGAGAGCAGAAGAATCTTTAGAAATATAAAACTTCCTCTATTTTTTTCAATATTTTTTGTCATAGCGCAACGGAGACGTGAGAAATATCGGGAAAAATCACATAATAATGTTGAAAGTTTACGATCTTGTGGGGCCGCGTTACTGTAATAGCTGTTCAGGGCAATATGCGCCCCGCGGGCAACATGCGCCCCGCGGGCAACGGATTGAACACACCTGACCTAGAGCGATAGCTGCGTGAACGAAGAATACTTGAGCGATAGAGGTGCGAATCCGTCGATTTGTTGAATAAAGTTTATTTCTTTACTGCCTTTTATTACAATTTCGTGAACAGGGTTATAAAGTTTCTTATATGTAGACTGTACAATCGCGAGTGTCACTGCGCTTTTTGGGACTGTATTTATAAAAGATTTTTGAGGAAACGTATTTGTCAGGGAAAGATCAAGAGCGCGTGGGAACAGTGATAGGGTTTACTGGTGATTAGATAGGAATTTTGTAGGAAAATTAAGATGATAGTTTCCCTTGGTGATAACTAAGGAATTCGCTGAGAAATTCGGAAAACACCGGAGCAAAGGTCCGACAGTAATAAGATAGAGATACGTGTGAAGCAGGACTAGGATGTGTTGGAGTCAGAGTTTATAGGGACTTTATAACAAGTGTTTGGACCGAGTGTGTGAGAATATTCGTGTGTGACCACCAAAAGATTTGGGTGGACGTGGCCGAATGCGTGTTGAAAATGTCCGCGTAGACTGAAAGAGATGAGCGAGCGGGTGAAAAAATAAAAGAGGTTGAATAAGAGAGAGTTAGAGAGAAGTCAGAGAGATAGAGTCACAGAGCGAGAGTTACAGAGAGGACCTTAAGGAGTGTTGAAGTATTAACCCTTTGCACTCGGAGGTGATTTTGCTGTAGAAAAGGTTGCAAATCGGATCTTTTCAAACCAACGTAGAAATAAAGTATACTATTTTATTGAAATATTCAATGTATATCTATTTCACTGTGATGAAGAAATTTATGGAGGCCGATAGATCTGCTCTCTGTCTTCGTTAATTATTTACCAAGTGACGAATATTTAATGTCGCTCCTCAGTCGCCACTCGATTGCAAAGGGTTAACCCTTTGCGGTCGTATTTCGTAGCGTGTTTTAAGTAAAATTCAAAAACAATTTTTAGATAACTACATAAATATGTTCAACCGTATGCTATTTTGCTCCACTATCTTTCGCCATCTTTCTAGGCGATGAACTGGTCCAGGTGGTTCGACACACGCTACGAAATTTTCTTCCAACCCAATAATACAATGCAACATTACAAATGTGAAATTCATTTTTCCAACTTTACGTATATTTAACACAATATGTGGTTTGATTTTGTGTAAAAATTGTACTTCATATTTCTCCATCGTGTGATACAAATGCTTCAAAGGCTGGGAGCAGAAAGAGTTGAAGTAATAGAGATAGACTAGAGACGTTGTAGCCGTTACTATCGAGTCTTCTTCGAAATTTTATCGAATACCTGTCTCGAACTCAACATTGCTATATTACTCCCATGGCAAGAACTTTAGAATTTGGTCCATGGCTACAGGGGATCTATTCTAGCGTCGTTCTATTTTCACCTAGTCGTTTCTGTCTATGGTTCGTTCTACTTCATAGCCCGGGAGTAAAGGTCAATCAGTGCAACGATGCTGCAAATCCTTTGCGCTTCGATACAATATCGACCGGTCGAAAAAAAAAAATAAGAAAGAAAGAACAGATAACGTCGCGATGATGTAGGCTGCAGCAAGCATCCGTTTGGAATAGCTTCCGTTTGCCAGTCCTACGATGACACGTTCAAGAACTTCTGTCCCTCTGTTATCATCGTCGCCATTTCTAGTCTCGTTCGTTTCTGACAAAATGAATGACAAAATGCTATGTTAATCGTCGATCGATTTAAATCGAAACGTGGTTAAGGGGCTATTCTAGTTTTCGTTATTTTCTTTTTTCTTTTGTTGCATTTTTGCACTCGTTACAGACCGGAGAGTTTGTCTGTCGAGGGATTTTTTCGAAATTCGATAAATTCTAAGAGCTGCGAAGGTTCGAATGACTCAAGACCGCAGATCTTCGAAAATCATTAAACGCGGTTTTCTCGAAACCAAGTTTTCCACCACTGATCCAAGCTTTTCTCGGAAACTATTCGACTGGTTGCTTTTCCCCTTGTAATACTCGGAACATCTATTGTTATCGTTTTATCCAAAATCATGTCAATATTTTCAAACAGCACCTAAATTACGAAAACTGCGGGAAACAACTTTGTGTTTCTAACTTTAACACCTTGCCGTTTCGTAGAAAATTCTTTTAAATTTACGATCACTCGACATGACACTCTTGAGAATGGAAAAAAACGTTCAGAGGGGTTATATATAGGGGTGGAGAAAAATGTTGAGAATGTATAATGACGTTTTGTTTGCGCGGAGCATTTGTTCCTGTGTGAGTTGAGGTTGCAAATTGATCGAGGTGTGGGACACGGTTGCAGTAGCAGGAAGAGAACTTTTATATCGTTGAACGGTGATTTTTAAGTAGCAAGATACTTTTACTTCACTCTTCATCTTTGAAACTTGAATGCACACATTGTTGCACTCTCTATTCTCGAATGCAACATCGATGGAAGCACTATTTCGAATGCGAAACATTGTTGCACGCGTTACTTTTGAACGCAACATTGCTTTAAGCGTTATATTTGAACGCAAACATTGTTGGAATTTCTATTTTTGATTGCAACATTATTAGAAGCGTTATTTCGAACGCAAACATTATTACAAGCACTACGCTTGAATGTGACATTGTCATTCTCGCTTGTAACATCGTTAACTCGTGTTATTTTCGAATGCACAATGTTGCAAAACGCGTTATCGTGTTTGCAACTTTGTTGCCGCGAAACGTTCTCGAAAAATGAACGTCGTTGCACGGCGCGCCCGTTTTGCAACATTGTGCAATTTTCGAGGGCGGTTCGCGGCAACAAAGTTGCAGGCGCGACCTCCCCTTTTGCAACTTTGTGTCGCGCGCGCGATTCGCGAAAAATTTGGATTGTATTTACTTATCACTTATTACTATTTACTAAGTAAGCAAATATGCTCCAAATTATATCGTGTTTGGTATCATTTTAATCAGAAAAATGTGACAAATATGTTGGTGAAAGTTTCATTCGTTACAAATCAAAAGTAAGAAAGTTTGATTTTTGAGTTAAAGGTCTCAGTTTATTCGTTTATCCTCAACTACTTTAATACAGAGAGCGTTCCAGAAAAGATATTAAAGATTTTCAGGGATAAAATTGTGCATTGCAGCTACAAACTTGCCGAAAGGTGGGCGGGAAGCAATCCGACAAAAGAACGATTTTTAACGCATAGAGTGTCGCATGATCAGAAAAAGAAGTAAAATTTGATGAATTACAAAACGGTACGGAAGAAAGATCTTCAAATTCTTTATGTGGTCGTAAGAAACATTCTTTTAACGATAGCAGCAATAAGACCAAAAATAGAACAATACAAAAGTAAATAGAGAATTAATTATACCACCGTGTATATGAAAACGTCACGCCTGGAACAGTAGACGGAGAGCGTATCAAAAAGGGTAAGACGGAGAAAAACGTAGGCGGTTAAGCGGGGGTTTGGACGTTCTAGCGCTGCCTTAGGCACGTCCCATGCGCGAAGCGAGGTTACTCTTATTTTGAACGATGTATAGTTCAATCTTCTCTGGCCAATAGCAAAGTCGTCAACCTTGGGACAATTCCGTAAGAATGTTCACAAACATTTTGTTGACAAACATTTCAAGTGTTTGTTAGCGATTTCACGCCGGCAAAAGATGAACAAATCTACACGCAAAGCAGCGGTATCGTAACTTTTCTCGTCGCCCGGAAAAGAAATAATGAAATTGGGTGAAAAATCAGCTGTCGTAACCCCGAATACCTCTTGATCTAGCGTACAATCGAGGTTGAGAAAACAGTGTGAAATTCCCCGTGGACCCGTCCGCTTCTCCAAGCCAACAATAACAAAATTGATGTTCGCCTAGATTCCATCGCGCGGGTCGATCACACCGAGACGCGTGTTTCGCCTGTAAAGATTTTACCATTCGATTTTCTACGTCGGTTCCTTCGCAACGAGGTTCCCGCCTTTCAGCAAGCCAGTTAACGTTTCACGAACGAACCTTTCCGTTTAATTGGGTTTCTGATGCAGGCGAAAGAGGTTGAAATGCGCTTCGTTCTCCCGGAGGTTAATACTCAATTGAGGTTGGGAGAATGCTATCGAGGGACAGAGACTGTAACATAGAGGGTTAATCGAGTCGGCGCGGCGCATCGATTAGCGCTCCGATGTGTAATACCGCGCGTTCTAAATAAACGAACAGCATCGAAAGGTAACCCACCCGCGGCCAACTTTCGTAATCTCGGGGAAAACGACGCTGGAATCGGTAATGAGTTTGTGCGATAGAAACGACGCGATTCGAGCGTATTTTGTGTGTTTGTGTTTCGATGGAATTTCTCACGATTGAGTAATTTCGGTCGAAGCTTTAAATACGTGATTATCACAAAATCAAACGGAACACGCTGAAATTCTCAATTTATACGCTTCAACGTTATAGTAGAAATAATTCTCAAAATCTATCTTATTTTCTTGTAACTTTTTATTTAAGAAAGTGTTTGTCGCCAAATGACTAGGAATGTAATAAATTACATACCTCGTTGGTCGCGTAGCACAGTCTCTGAAACGCTTTAGCCTAATAACAAATATAAAATTGTACTTTTTCACAGCTGAAAACGTCTCACTTGTCTTGGGCCAGACCTCGAGCCACGGTGATTCTGAAACAATTAAGTACGGCGGTAGGAATTCTCTGTTAGAAGTCGTAGGACACGTCGTTAGAATTCTCATTCTCCTTCCATCTTGACGAATTTTATCTGCCGTGGAACGATTACGAAAATATTTGAAACTTGTAAACAAAACACGGAACGGAATTTTTTCATCCGATACCCAATCCTGTTCTACAACTCTATTTCGAACGGTACCGACGGAGGAACTGTGTCACGAACGTTTAGGAAATATTTTCTCATAGAGAACGAAACGTTCGAATTGTGAAACAGGAACCGGACGAGACCCGACGCATCTACTGCCTGACGAAAATAGTGCAAAGAAGATGACGAAGAGATTCGAGTTCAATTGGCAGATCGAGGTACCGCTACCGCTGCGTCAGGGATGCATGTTCGATCGTTGGTCAGAGGAAAAGGACAACACCGAGCACGAGTTAAATTGCATGTTCAAGGTCGATGAATATGGTTTCTTTATCTATTGGCAGAGCGAGGGAAGGGTGAGTACCTTTTATCCTTGGAAAAGGAAGGTGATATCTCGTACACCTCCTTCTCTCTAAAAGCATCGAGAACAATGATGTAGCTAGATTATTTGATCCGTTGTTTTTTCCATTGTTTTTCGTGAATAGGACGGGGACGTGATAGAGCTGTGTCAAGTGAGCGATATACGTGCCGGTGGGCTACCAAAGGTAAGGAAATTTTCCACGTAGAAAATCGAGAAATTTCGAAACTGTGTGCCAGTTAGAATGTCTGCCTTTCGTTTGAAACGTTAACAAGCGGCCGCGGTGTTTCGATATTATGATACGTCTGTCTCTCTGTACCTTTCCTCTCCGATACTTCGTTCTTTTCCCTTCCTAAAAAAAGCACAGATAGCATCGAGGCATACGATCGATAGAATATACGTACCTACGTACAGGGTGGAGAATTTGATCACCTTAATTATTTCCGTTACTACTGGACCGATACAAATTCTTCTTTTTTTCCAAATACATACCTCGGTTCAGAGGGATCTACGGGCTGATATACTTTTTCTAGGCCATCTTTTTTTTCAGTTATCAAGGTCACCTTCGGTTTATTAAACGCAACCCTACAATTTTTTTCGACTACCTTTTAGCGAACACTGTGATATATTTCCTTTTTTATCAGGACAGGAGATGTGGTGGAGGCAAACCAAGGTGTTTAAAAAAGAGGAATTCGTATTGATCCAGTAGTAATGGAACTGATTAGGGTGATCAAGTTTCGTTGTCCACCCTGTATACAGGTCACCTAATTATCCTCCCTAACTACGGTGGTACGAGAAAATTTGTATACGTAATGGTTTCGACGGGTAAATAACATGGAAGAAAATTTCTTTTTTAAATGCCACTTTTTCTTCAAAGTCACCTACGTGGTTTCACACGAATGTGTATATTTTATTAAAAATTTTCAATCAAACGTGAAGCTTCCTCTCATTTTTTGCCATTCCTTCCCTTTGGAACCATTTAACCCTTATGTCAATAACCAGAATTGTCGTCTACTTTCTCGTCCAATTTTAGTAGTTTTCTGATAACGAAATTCTAAACTTGAGGTAAACACGGCTAGGAAATGTGCGAAATAACAACGATCTGGCCGGATATTTCAATCTTTTACCTGGAAGATCAAATATTTTTAGTGAGAATTATGCGAAAGGGTGCCCGGTTATTGACATAAAGGTCAAATTGCGTCTAAAAATTGTCCAACACCACCATAGCTAGATAAGACAATTAGGTGGCCCACCCTGTATATTGTACACACATATACATGTATACAATATCATTCTTCGTTCTAATTAAGCTACCGAAAGGGGGGATCGGACCGTCTGAGAATCGTTCTGTAATTTTATTCAGGACCCGAAGCTGCACGACAAGCTCCTGACGAAGCACGGGGAGCAATTAGAGGAGAAAAGTTTAACCGTCTGTTCGGGCGTAGATTATACCAACATTAATTACCAGCACGTCGTCTGTCCGGATCCAGCTACAGCTAAGGTAAATCCTCCTCGTTGCATAATCGCAGCCTATGTTTGATCGTCCTTCTGAAAAAATTAGCAAACGAAACGGGTGTCTCTGATGGATATGGTCGAAAGAATAATTCCTCTAGCTGTACACGTCGCGTTCTTCCATATGAGATTCGTCTAATTAATAGAGAAAGACGTGTCCAAGTCGATTAGTAGAGATATGTATTCCGATTCGTTGGACAGGCAATTATTACGATGATCAATAAAGCCCACGTGTTTGCTGTGTCCTATGACAGATATGGCTGGACGGCATACGATCGATTACGCACAATGTGAAAGCCAACAACGTTTGCCCGCTTACGTGCTTGAAGAAACAGTGAGTTTACTAATGCAATTACACACACCTACGCCATCAGTTCGTAAACACGACCACCGTGAAAGTAATTAGCCGGAAACAGTTCTCCGATCTTCCGTTCTTCCGTTCCCGGCTTCCATCGACTTCAGACCTCTCCGTAGTAACGCTACAACACCGGTGAAAAACTCTACACAGTCTCGTATTTAACGAAACGGTCGTAGTAAGAACTGTCGTGCGAATCGCGGAGATAAACGACGAATATATCGCGACACCTGCTATAGAAAGGAGAAACTTATGGAAAATCATCTTTCCGTTGCTGCTCGAAAAATGAACACCTTTTTGCCGTGTTCCAGTTGGATGCGGCTCAGAATGCTGGTCGATCCAAATGGAAAAGTTCCGGTGAAAGTGGTTGCAAGAACTTTCGCATCCGGGAAAACGGAAAAGCTTGTCTATCAGTGCCTCGCCGATTTAGGCCTACCTAGCGGAAAGGTACTACCGTGAAAAAAAAAAAAAACAGAAAAAATGGAACAAAAGCATATGTACGCGGTTGAGAATCATTCTGAAATCGAATCTGAAAAAAATCTGTTTGATCTGAATATTTCTAGAACGATGTCATCGAACCGGACGACTTCACTTTCGACGCGTTCTACGCGCTCTACCATAAAATCTGCCCGAGGAACGACATAGAGGAATTGTTTCAATCGATGTGAGTTCCGAATGAATCATACCTCACGTTATATATGTATATTCTCCACCGGTCGAGATTGATTCGTCGATAAACGCAGAAACGATGGTATATTTGATCTGACTATTCCAGCACCCAGGGCAAAGCGGACACGATCAATTTGGAGCAACTGGTCACGTTTCTGAACGAGAAGCAACGTGATCCAACGTTGAACGAGATCCTGTATCCGCTGTACGACGACAAGAGGGCACTGGAGATTATAAGCGACTACGAGCAGAACGAGACGGCGAGAAATCAAAGTAAGATTCTCACCGACCATCTCTCCTCTGTCGCTTTTTCTTCTAGACTGCGTTAAATCTACTGTGAAACGAATGAAAGACAATTTCCCCCTCGATCGCCTAAATGTTCGAATTAGTTTGTACCTGCGAAACGGCATCCTTTCAGAAGCAATCACGTCCTTTCAGAAACGATGACGAAGGATGGTTTTATAAGGTACCTGATGTCCGACGAGAACGCGCCAGTTTTCTTGGACAGGCTGGATGTCTACATGGACATGGACCAACCGTTGGCTCATTACTATATCAATTCGAGCCATAACACGTATTTAAGCGGTCGCCAGTTCGGTGGAAAGAGCAGCGTTGAGATGTATCGACAGGTGTTGCTAGCCGGTTGTAGGTAAGATTAACGAGATTCTAAATTATTCCACCTAAACGTATCGTAATCGATCGGTTGCGTCGAAAGGTGCGTCGAATTGGACTGCTGGGATGGTAAAGGAGAGGACGAGGAACCGATAATTACTCATGGCAAGGCCATGTGCACCGACATCCTCTTCAGAGATGTGATATACGCGGTAAGGGACACCGCGTTCGTCACGTCTGAATATCCCGTGATTCTCAGCTTCGAGAATCACTGCAGCAAGAAGCAGCAATACAAATTGGCCAAGTATTGCGACGAAATCTTGGGTGATCTGCTGCTGAAAGAACCCCTCAAAGAATATCCCGTGAGTTTCGCTTCTAGATCTCTATCGCGCCCGATAACGTTAAATGCGTCTTAAATGCGTCAATCGAAATCTAGACTCCTATCGATAAACAGGACAAAAATGGGCAAACGTGCTCCTGTCCGTTGTTATCGAGACTTTATCTCCGGTCGATCGCACGATAGAAACGTGTTGAAGTGCTCCTCACGATTAGATTACACGTGCGTGTTCGAAAATCAAGATAACCGTTAGTAGACGTAAGATCAGATCGCGAGTCCAAGAAAAAAAAATGGTGCCTACTAACGAATACCGATGTTGTGATTCGATGAAACAGCTGGAGCCAGGGGTGTCGTTGCCACCGCCCAGCATGCTCAAGCGCAAAATCCTGATAAAAAATAAACGCCTGAAGCCCGAAGTGGAGAAACACGAGTTGGAGTTGTTCAGGCAAGGTCAATTTGTCATCGAGGACGAGGTTAAGGAGGATGCTAGCGCGCCGCCAGTTGTCGCCGTGGTTGTTGAACAGCAATCGGTAAAGGTATCCTTCGATACAAACAACCAGCATGGAACTCCCGACATCCTGTTTATCCTTGTTTCCGATCAAATCAAACGATTTGCCGAGTTAAAAGAAAGAAAGAAAAAAAAGAGAAAAAAAGAAAACAAACAAAAATTCCAGGAAGAAGTCTCGACAGCTGAATCGGTTACGTCGTCGACGACCGGTATTCAACATCAATCTAGCTCCAGTGCAGGTCTGGGTGAAAATTTGGAACTAGCAGCAGCACAGCCGTATACCGGTAGCACGACAAACGTCCATCCATGGTTGTCCTCTATGGTGAACTATGCTCAACCGATCAAGTTCCCGGGCTTCGATATTGCCGAACGTAAGGCAAAGCTTTTCCTCGGTAATTCGCTTAAGAGCGATCGAGTGAAACGATTGATGATCACAACCTCTTGTACAGAAAAGAATATTCATCACAATATGTCTTCCTTCGCGGAAACCGCTGGCCTGAATTACCTGAAGACGCAGGCGATCGAGTTCGTCAATTATAACAAGCGACAAATGAGCCGAATCTATCCGAAAGGCACTCGGGCGGATTCATCGAATTACATGCCGCAGGTAATTTTCGTTCACGTATACGCGGATATTGCAAATCTCCCATGGGTATCAAACAGAGCCGGGCCTTTCATGGTGATCAATCGTTGGAAATAGGTCTTCTGGAACGCTGGCTGCCAAATGGTATCGTTAAATTTCCAAACCGCGGACTTGCCTATGCAACTGAACCAAGGGAAATTCGAATACAACGGTTCCTCTGGCTACCTACTGAAGCCGGACTTCATGAGGAGAGCCGACAGGAGTTTCGATCCTTTTGCGGAGAGTCCTGTGGATGGTGTGATCGCCACTCAGTGCAGAGTCCAGGTAATTTCTCAATTCCTTCTTACTTCTCCTTTTTTCCTATTTATTTCTATCGTACTTCTTGGGATAAGAGTGTCGAATCGAGTGACAATTCTTCTGAATGAGAATGCACGCGTGATAAGATCGACGCTGTGGCCGAAAATCGGCTCGTGGCAAGAGTGCGTGAATAAGGAGGTATGAAAGGCAAGGGGGAAGTAAGAATGGGAACGTTAGAAAAGCGAACATCGAAGACGAGGGGTTATCTCTGTAGATTAGAACAAAAACCGTATTCTTACCAAACCATAATTCGCCACTTAAATTGCATCCCTACATTATTCTCTCCTCATTTTCTTTGACCTATTACACGAGGATTTTGGTTCCCGTTTACAGGTAATAGCAGGTCAATTTTTGTCCGACAAGAAGGTCGGAACGTACGTGGAGGTAGAAATGTACGGTCTACCGACAGACACGATCCGCAAAGAGTTTCGAACGAGAGTAGTTCCAGCGAACGGCCTGAATCCCGTTTACAATGAAGAACCGTTCCTATTTCGAAAAGTGGTCCTTCCTGACCTGGCAGCCTTGCGATTTGCGGTCTACGACGAATCGAATGGCAAACTGTTGGGTCAAAGGATCGTCCCCTTAGATGGTCTACAGTCGGGATATAGGCATATATCTCTGAGAACAGAGGCAAACTTCCCCATGTCCTTGCCTATGCTATTTTGCAACATAGAGATCAAGATCTACGTGCCAGATGGTTACGAAGGTAAGCTTGCCGACTAACCGTCGACCTTGAGCGAGGCAACCTCTTCATAAATGAAATTTTAGGACTCATGGACGCGCTGACGGCGCCACGGGCCTACAGAAAACCGGAGAACGCATCGCAGAACAAAATTCGCGGCCTTGGAATTGAGGAGAGCGATAGTAAAGGACACTCGGATTCTATGCCATCTCATCATCGCGAAGCGCCTAAACCGAGAGGTGAATTTCTCTCATTTCGGCTATAAATTCACAGAGAGAAGAATGGAAGAATTTACGAGGTCGTTTCTGTTACAGAGGAGATGAAATTCGACCCCATAACCGTAGAATCGTTGCAAGTAGAAAGGGGATACCAGAAGGTGGTGAGGAAACAGCAGAAGGAATTGGAATCTCTGAAGAAGAGGCATCAGAAGGAGAAACTTACCGTCCAGAAACAACACTGCGCTGCAATAGAGAAAATTATCAAAGGAAAAAAGTACATACTTGACAATTCGTTGTTCTCTTTCCTTTTTCCTATATCAGCAGACTATATGGACAAAATATTTACTCTCTCCTTACACAGCAAAGCGGAACTCTCGAGAGATCCTATTGTTCGTCGAGAGGTTTCCGAGCAAACTGTTCAGTGGTCTCGATTGGCCGACAAGCAGAGACGAGAAGAACGTGATCTGGTACTCTGTCACCTGGAGGAACGAAGGAACACCTTACGGAAATTGTGCGGGACTGCTCAAGTGGCCCAGCACAAGCAGCTAGCGGCGAGACACGAGCGTGAGATCAAAGAGATGAACGCCAGACAGGCGAGACAATCGGTGGAAAGCACGAGGGAAGTGATGAACGATAAAACGCTGAAGACTCGAGGGATCAAGGAGGGCAGGCTGAGAGAGAAGCAACAGAACAACACGAAGAAGTTCATGGAGGAGAGGAAAATCGCGCAAATGATACAGAACAGGGAGAAGGAGAAGCTGAAGTTGATACACGAGAAGCAGCTGGAGGAATTGGAGAAAGACATGAACGCGGTTAGACGAATGAATATATGCGTGGTTTCGATGGATCTCCCGTAGGAAGAAGTAAGTGAAATTTTTTTGAAATATTTCCCTCTTTCAGATCAAGGACATGTACAACAACGAGGAGATGGAGTACGAACTTGGCCCTAAGACCGAATGCTACGTGTGATGTCAACGAAGATCGCGTTCTCGTCGAGGAATAGGTGTTGCCTTCAGAGAATTCGCTCCTACCGTTATTTACAACTGGAATTGGGATCAAGCCTCGTTAGCTATCGTTCTCAGCGCGTTGAGATGCGACGAGCAACAGACAAAACCGCGTTTAATCGTTACTCTAGTTCATTCTCCTGGATATTTTTTTATAAATGAAAGAAGAAGAAGCATCTTGTAAACTCCATTACTCTCCGTCGTCGCACGAGCAAGTACCTAGACTAAATAAGGGAGTCAATAAAAACTAAAGTGATCTAGTCAAGTTCTTATATTAATAAGTATAATATATATTATATATTTATTATACATACATATTATATATAAGTATAAATGAGCGAGAAGAAAGAGAAGAGAAAAATAGAGAGAGAATACAGAAAATGGATCACGCGGATCGAGCGTGCCGCGGGATACCTCCGATAATTCAAATATTTTTCGATTGTTAATGCTATTACCGAATTCTATCGTGTCGTGTGCGTGAGATAAGGAATTGTGCGAGCACTTGTGTGTGTTTTATTGCCTAAATATGCCAAGAGGAATTTTGCCGCCACCGTGACGGTTCCCCTCGCTATTCGAAAAATCTATAAATTCGAACGATGCTTTTCACAGTCAATAGATGATGGTAAACGCCTGCGGTGGCGTTTCTGCCCGCGATTTAGACTCTTAAATGCCCTCTTCCCTCACTCCCATGACTGTCGAATCAGATCTTCAGTCACGATCGAGCAGGTACTCGTTTCGGGGACATACTTTTATTTTCATCTCTTTTCCGTCTTTTTTTCCGCCATCTCGAAAGTGAGTACACTCTCGCACGAATGGTCCAATAGTCGCGTGCCAGATAAACAAAAAGATAAAAAAAAAAAATAAAGAACAGCGTTGTACATATATATACGTAAAAGAGGAAGGAGAGCCTAGCATAATGATTACCACGTCGTTGTTTTCATTCTAATAATGTTATTTACACAAATTATTATATAATATTAACCTATATTGTATGTATACATATGCATACGTATATTGAATATAAAAAGAGTAAAGGGGAAAAAATAAAGAGGAGATTGCTAGCTCGATCCGTTGCAATTCTCGATCGATGTAACTTCTATAAGTGATAATCGTAATCAAGTCCATGGTTGAAGCGTTCGTAATGCTGGGGAACATTGCCCTGTACCTTGAAGCCATCGAACGAAGCTGAAATACGAAAAGATTTGATAGCGATTGTACGTTGTGATCAGTCATTTCTTCGTCATTACCTCCTGACAAACGATTCACCAAACTTCCCTGACCACCGATACCACCTTGACCGGGGTAATACCCGTGTCCTACATCCACGTGTCCTGCTTGAGGCTTGTAGTCGCCGAAAAATGGGACCCGAGCATGATTCTCCACTGGACCACCGTTCTGATAATGTTCACCAGGATAGACGTTTCGAAAATTCGGATAGTACGACTGATCCGATATCCTGGGTATCCTTGCAGCCTGGCAGACGACGAAGAGCAGGAGACACAGCTGCAACACGAAAGTTGCACTTTAGAATTTGACCCAAGTTAAGATACGCACTTATGTCACTTACGTAGTATTTCATAGCGAATATTCAGAATAGACTCGAGTTTCGCCAAGTTTCCACTGAGGGATTCCCTCGCGTCGAGGGACTTTTTATACACCATCGTTGTGAGAAGTTACGAAAATGCATGAATACGGACAGGAAATTCGACAGACTCGTAATCCTGATAATCATAGGCGAATGGTTTCAAAACCGATTCGATTCATTGCCGCAGTTTGCGTAACACGGTTGCTCGGTGTCGCGAACATGTGACGAAACGACGATTCCGTGAAATAATCGGGACTCGAGTGGAAAGCTCGCCAAGACTGGCTGGTAATTAATTCCTTACTTAGATCTATCTGTCGCAATCGTATCGATTGATAAAAGGCGAAAACACGTAGGAGCGTGTCACCTGTGGCCAATCGTGACAGAGGTTCTCATCTTTTCCCACGAAATTAGGTTAAACTAGGAGAACCTCGAGCACTCGTGTACCCACAGGTTAGAGACGACTGTTTCAAGAGTGGCAATTTTTTTAACTCGACTGGATCGTGTAGAATGCTCTGAAAAGTTGGTTCGTCGAAGGATAGACGCGGTATTCGTCGGAGAAACGAGGGCCCTAGAGGTTACCACTGTCCTGGCAAGTTCTAAACGACCTTAGAAACGACGATAACGTGAATCAGTTTCCGAGAACAATCCGGGAAACTTTCACGAGGAAATGAGTTTTCACCGGTGGGCGGATTAAGACCTCGAGAAAGCCAATCTCAGGATGCGGACGCGTAATCCCGTGTAAAGGACGTCGGTCTGTTATGAAATCCCCGGTCAGGATTATTCCGCGCGGATGAAAAAGTTTCCGGGGCGAAAATTAGCCGGCTATCGAAACTTTACGCTTGCAAACGCGCATCCCGCGCGTCCGCGGTGCGATGAGCTTTTAACGAGTTTCAATCCGCTTGTTGTCGCGGCTGAGGAGCTTTCATTTCGCGGTGGTTTGAAGGATCCCTGCCCTCTTAGCCAGACGAAATTACCGCATCGAACGGGGGGAAAGTTGATGAACGGAACCGGGGGAGGTGAAGGGGTTGGTAAGTACAATTGACAAACAAGATTGATACTTCCTTTGTTTTTATTGTACAATACGCGAAACGGAAACCTTGCTAAATTACGGTTGACTACGATCGAACGTTATGACAGGTGAAGGTAGTCATCGTGTTTTGTCTTCCATAAGCAAAAAAATGTCGCGGAAGCACCTCCAGTGCTTTCCGCTTGACCAGGACCTTCCCGAATGAGTTACCGCGATCGATTCGATCGCCGTGATCGCACCGTGAAATCTGTCCTCGATTTCTTGATTAGGGGCAGTACGGTTTTAGAGGCGACTGATAGACAGGCTGGGGATGTAGGATCGGTTGCGCTAGCTTCACAATGTTGATCTCTGGCGCTGGTACCTGAAGCACCTTAGGTTGATGATATTGAATAGGATACGATATCTGAGGTTTCTGGATCACTTGTGTCACCGGTAGCTCGTACTTCTTCAGATAGATCTTAGGCGCCTGGTACATCAGCTTCTGATACATAGGCGCGTAATAGATCGGTTTCTGATAGATCGGCGCGTACGAGAGCATCGGTTTCTGATAGACAGGCAGCACCACTTTCGGCTGAATCAACGGCTTCACGATTACAGGTGGTGGCTTCACCACAACTGGAGCCGGGGCTGGTTTCACGTACGTGATCATGGGTTTAGGAAAATCGTACGACACGGGAACCGGCGGTGCGTAGGGTTTGACGAAAAGTTGCGGCGGTGGCGAGTAAGAGATGGGATGAGAATAAACCGGAGGAGGACACGGGTTGAAGTAGGACTCCCTTTTCATCGCCGCTTTGTCCTCCATCATGCCGTCCGGCATGTGCATGCTCATGGCGGTTTCGGAACGAACGCTCGACAGCCATATTAGGCAAGGTATCTGGAAACGGTAGGAAAAATTTTCAGGTGAAATCGACGTGTTAGAGAAATTTGGAATTAAGACGAATCTATTTTTCCGAATTAATTCTATCGCGAATTAATCTAACTCTCACGCGTGATGGATTAATTAGACGCACGCTATTCTAGCAAATACCGCGATGTTAGATGTATAGAAAGTCTGAACAGTTCCTCTGTCTACTTGCTTACCAGCAACCTGAACATGATTTCGGCTCGAGGGTTGATTACAATCCTCCCGATGAACGTCGAATCTAATGTCCCAGGCGATACTAAAAGCGCGTCGTGCGTGCCCGTCGATTTTATAAACTTTTGCTCCACATAGACGGGGCAGGTTTCTTGCAAACCCAAGTCCACAGTGATTCCCTTAAGCGGCGTAAAAAGCGGTCGTCGGTCAGGCGTATATGATGCAATTGGTCGCGCCCCGGTATTTCCTAAATAAATTCTGCACCTCGGGCGACTGTACGAGCGTCGGGACAAGAGTTCGTCATTTACCGTACAGTGATTGGCTGGGTTTTCTGGACCGACAAAACCGGAGGGCAGGCCTCGTGATACGTTAGATCGCTTCGGGTGTCGCCTGCAGAAATCCGCGAGAAGGCACAAACGCTTTGAAATATTTACTGCTCCCTTGTCTAATTTATCTCTCTCTGTTTCTGCTGTCGTTTCGCGATACCGTTTGCATTTGGAAAAAAGAAAACCGGTACATTACACCGTGATCGATTCGTAATTACGATCTACCTGCTGCTCAAGTACGCGCGATTGCCCCGTGAACGGATTAACGTTTAGTTAATGCCTCGTTATTCCAACTTGGACAGCAGTCCGTGGGATTCGTTTCGTTGGGAATGCAAAACGACCAGATCGAGGAGGGACGTATGAAACCAACAAGGTAAACCTCGTAAAATGATCGACTGTCGCTTTCGCCGAGTTACAATGTCCATTATTTCATTAAGATCTTTGCGGCAATTAAATGAAAAAAATGCGCGGAGGCATGCAGCGGCCGGATCGACGAGATCATACCTGGCTCGGCTGTCCCAATTAAGAAATACAGTGACACAAAGAAAAAGTGACTTATATAGCTACTTGTCTATGTTCGACGAACCTTCTACCAAGCGAGGTGTACTTTCGAAACCGTTCAATCGTCTTGGTTATACCATTCGACCGACGAAGTCGTTTCAAAGCGGAGGAAAGAGAAGAACGCAGAGGATTATGAAAACAAGAAAAACAATTTATTTAAACGACATAACAGTACGTTAAGTATAACAGTAGCGGGGTATGTACAAGTATCGTAATGCCAAGAAACTGAAGTCTCTCTCTGTTACATCGTCATATTTGGCTAAGCGGCAGAACATCCTCGTCAGGATCAGTGCTTCCATCCGTGTCCTTTGCTCTGGTGATGGAACACGTGCTTGTAGACAGGAACGTGAACTGGATATGGTTTCGGAATTGGCACCGGAAAGTGCTTCTCGACCGTTACCGGATACGGCCTCTCGACTACGTACGGCACCTGTGTGGATATTAACGTTTCCTGTATTCCCTGTTGCATCTCAATTCTTGTATTTATACGTAATGAGTTCAGAGGGCAAGTTATATATCGCCGTGGTCAGCGGCGGTACACGGTACCGGAACAATCAAACTTCCATTGCCGCGAGTGTGCACCAACGAGGAGCATTATTCTTCCACAAATGGTAATAACGTTATTGTAACGATATTGTACGTTGTAACGATACAAAGTTTCATGAGTTATTAGTTGTACAAATACCTTTTTCTCCACTACATACGGCTCAGGCTTCTCTACTGGAATTTCGACGTGTTTGACCACTTCTACGGGCACTGGATGAGGGACTGGTACCTCGACTTGGTACGGTTGTGGTATCGGAACTTTGATTTGCTGTGGAATCGGCACTGGAACAGGATGGGGAATCGGTATGGCGTATTTTTTGTAAATTGGAATTTCCACGGGTTTCGACGTTTCGTGGTAAGTGGAGCCGCCGTGATCCTCTTCGTAGGAGGCGTACGCTAATGTGACTAAAGCGGCTAACACCTGAATGAAAAAGTGACGCTAATTAAATCTGTCCGAATTATTTCTAATTAGTCGTGTCGGTGAATCGTTGAAAATTACAATTGAACTGCTTGAGAAAATATGAAATAGTACCGCGTTCGTGGTTTGAAATTTTACAAAAGAGAAATTCCGACGCGAGACAGAACGAAGAGTGAAAAACTTACAAAAATCCTCATGGTTTCTGCGGCTAAAATACACTAGAACGAATCCTTTAGAGAGCAACCCGCCGCTGTGTTAACTCGCCACGATCACTGTGATGCTTTCAAAGTCACGGCCAAGTGTTTATATACCAACGTCACTTTCTCCCTTCTCTTCATTACGTTGACTGTTTCTGCTCGTCGCATTTATCCGTGCACGTATATACGTACGATCACTTCTACGATTGTCTGCACAGATATAATATCACACCTGGGAGTCTGCGCGTTCTTCCTGGCGTTCGGACCTCGCGAAGCTTCACGCTTCTCCGCGCATATCGCCTGTCGTATTAATTGACACGGAATAGAAATTGCTAATTCAATATCGTAAAATAATCACATTCACTTGCACGCGAACTTATCAAATTTTACCGTTCGCCGGGGCTGGACAGTTCAACGAACGAGCGAAAGATATCTGAGACATTTGCAAACGGTGCAAACGCTCCCACGAGTACCACATACACACTCGGCACTTTCGATTTTCACCATGTGAAAAGAACAACGGACAGCTCACGGATAAACGCTTCCAGCGAAAGGAAGTCTCCTCTCCCCCGTGGAATTACTCGATATTAAGTAATTAGAGATCTAATTGATCCGGCTGATTTGCGAGCAAAACACCTGCTGCGAATGCAGCTTTGCTAATCAGAGATGACTAATTGTAAGTGTAACAATGTTCCGAACAGACGACCGAGAATTAAGCTCAGTCAACCGAGATAAACGCAGCCCGGTCATGGTCTAGTTCGCATGCTTAATAATTTGTAAATTACTGTCAGTCAAGTTAGCGTAGAGGTCGAGACGTTCTCGACACGCGATTCGGAAAAATACCGACTCCCAGTTGCAACTTTCATACCGAAAGGGGTGTGAACTGGTATACAATGTTAGGTGTAAATTACACAGTGTGCGGTGAATTTCTAGAGAGATTAGCCGAACTAGAATGATGGAAATCGTAATGAAACCAGGCTCGTCTAATTCCAGTATTAAATTTTCGACTTATTCATAGCTTGCAACTTGGTGCACGGAACTTTCGAACGGATCGTCACGTGTTCTTCCCCCACATATGGAAAGGTACGGATGCAACGAAACTATAGTCCAGTGAATTTCTTGCCTTGCTTGCTCTCAGGTATCGATTCTTTCTCTCTATTCTTCTGTGTACGCTAATAAGAAAATTTTCCAAATTGCACAGCTTGTTTTTTTTTTTTTTTTAACAGTTATTCGAATTGGTGACCAAAATTGGTGACTGTTTTATTGGTTTCAGCCGTTGATACAGTGCAGCGTGAGAGGAAGCTGGTACATAGGGGTGTGTTCGTGAGAGAGAAGATTCGAATTGTACGCGATACTATCCGTATCAGCGAGCGGAACAGTGAAAGTGTACACCGAGTAAAAGTGGTTTCGCAGCGCGATGTAGGAACGCGACTGCTGTCGGGCTCATTATGGCGAATCAAGATCGTGGAGAATTCCTGCCGGTGACTGGTTGATTTCTAGCTGATTCATAACACCGGATGACGAGGAAATGAACAGTGTGTACGATTACTATTGATACCACAGCGAACACGGAAGAGACCTCCCTGTCCCACGTTTCGTTTTCTCTCCGACTGGTTCAACGATCCTTCCGGCTACCGTTTAATTGAATCATTAACAAGAGGCTGTTTCATTTTTGCTTTTGTTTTTAAATATGATTTATTAACGAACACATATCGCTTATCAGAGAAGGAAAAACTTAACAAGTGTATAAAACAAATATCCGTAACAAAAACATTGGCAACTAGATCGAGAATCCAATCTCGCGTCTCTCTTTCGCTGGGGGAGAACGTTGTCGAGACAATTTAGGGTACGATGAACGGAGAATGTTCGTCGTGTTAAATTAAGCTTGGATTCCAGATGAGAAGATGGGAGTGTTTCTTCTTGAAACGGTCAGTCCAGACGAAGAACAATTCCTAGGTAAATGTTCCTCAGCAGAGAAGAATCAACTTAGTGCCATCCTTTGCCCTTTGAAGTGTAATGGAATACGTGCTTGTAGACTGGCACATGAACTGGATACGGCTTGGCGACTGGAATGGGGAATTTTTTCTCGACGTACACTGGATACGGCTTCTCCACCACAAAAGGCACCTGGATGAATGCGATCACACGTCATGACGGCCAGTTATTGCGAACCGAGAGATTTTGCAACTATTGTTCGATCATTCAACGTCTGTCTACTCACGTGCTTCTCCACTATTACGGGTTCTGGCTTCTCAATAGGGATCTCGACTTGCTTGACAACTTCGACCGGATAGGGGTGGGGAATTTCGATGGGGACACTCTGTGGCTGAGGGATCGGGATCTCTATTTTCTGGGGGATCTGAACGGGTACAGGATGAGGAATCGGTATCGCTGAAAACAATATTCAGACGATTAATTTACCGTACCGTTAATCCAATTAATCACACGTAGATGCAAATAATTACCGTATTTTTTGTAAATTGGAATTTCCACCGGCTTGGTTTTTTCCTCGTAGGTGGAGCTGCCGTGATCCTCGTCGTAGTGTCCTAAGTGCCCGGCGGAAACAATTCCGGCGAACGTCGCAAGAGCGAATAGAGTGATCTGGAAAAGCATTCGATTAGTATAATCCTCTCGATCTTGTTCGTTAAATAACGCGTGTCTGTGTCTAACGGTTACGTCGAGAACTAATTTTTCTCCGTAACGTAATTAGATTTTCGATCGACTTAAAAATTACTGCTACACGACCTCTACTCTGTAGACGTTACATCGAACTTTAACGAGTTTCATGCCTTACGATTTGATTCATGGTTGCAGACGTGTCCCAAGCGGGGGTGTTTATTGTTTGAGCACAAGAATCGAGCGTTGAGTGTCTATGGCAGTGGAACACAGAGCTTATATACTAACATCGATTCCACCACCTTTCACTGGTTCCTTGCGCTAGAGTCCAGACCCTTTCCAGGATATACCGAGGCAGGTCTCACCACCGTCCAACCTTCATACGAAGTCTATGCATCGTTGATGAATATGAAAGGTTCTCGTTTCATTTTTCGCGCAGTTCATTGAACCACATTCAGTTGCCTACGGTATACCGGAAGTTCAGATTACGTGTGCAAGCGGACGTGGGAAGTGCGACCCGTGGAAGTATCTGGTCGTTAGGGTAACATGCTCTTTTTAGTAGATCACGTTAGGCCTGAATGAAAGAGCGCGAGACTAACAAAGTATTATTCCGCGTTGAAAATGTCACGTGGATAAACTTGGAAGTGATCTTTAACCCCTTAACACTAGAACTACCAGCCGAGCCAAAACGACCCATTAGCGACTTTCCAAAAGTGAAGTTTTGTGTAAGTAAAACGGTGACTGGAAAATTCGATTTATATCGGTACAAATAGAAGTATGCATGTAAAAAATAAATTCGGAAAGTTACAAACGAGAATACTTGCCAGTATTGAACATTCACGTTTCTTCGAAAGATGCTAATGGGTCATTTTGACCCGGTCGGTAGTTCTAGTGTTAATACTCGTGCCTGTGTTTTACCATTGCAATTTTGTTCAACCCTTTCGTTACTATTAGCGCCTATAGGCGTTTCAAAAATTTGCCCGCACTGTACTGTCGAAGCCTTTCGGTGCACCTTAGTTGAACACTTAATTTTATCGTTTACGCATTGCCACCTTAGTTTAATAAATGAAACTTTAAAAGACCACGGCGAAAATAGGAAATTTTACAGCCGTGGTTCAAAATTGACCGTCGGTCAATTCACTTTTCGTATCGCGCTATTCTTTCGATTCTATTGGAAAAATGTAAGTCGCAGCGTTGTAAATAAATGTGAAACTTCTTTCTGTGCGGCTAGGAAATAATTAAAAAGAAAGTAAAATTGATCATTTTTGGCACGTCAAATTGAGAGAAAATGTGAGCGTTAAGGGGTTAACCGTTTCCACTGAAACAAGAAATACACGCGTTCAGGAGTCGAGAAATATTTCTCGATTATTGTAATTTAAATGGGAATTCGACATTAGAAACCTGAAGGAAGTCTAAAGTCACTGGTAAAGCGAAAGATTGAGCAGACTCGAGATGCAGTCGCAAATTTACTACCATTTGCGATCGGAAGTGAAAGCTCGGTGCGGTCTTGAAAATTTCCAGAAACGATTTGGCCAGAATGTGAATTCGAAACTGACCAAAAAGCTAAAGGCCTATTATGCATGCGCATAACTTATAATACAATCATCATAATCGTCTTCGGCGTACAGGTGTCTTTTCTCCTTCTTCGAAAGGTTACCGAATTGCGAGATTGGGCGGTCACCAAATCGATTTCTTTTTCGAACGGCTCTGCTGGTCCCCGGCGTAAATCTGAAGTTTACCGGAAGTGAAGGTGAAGCGCTTAAAGACAGTCAAAGCGGATGAAATATTTCGGGACGACGAAATGAAAGGCGTTCGAAACGCGTTCACTGTGTGAAAGGACTGCTCCCGAAGAAACTGATCCGACACGGCGATCTTTGTTCCTGTAAAAGTGAATTTCTGTTTTATCACCAAGTGCCTTGTGCCCGAAAGCAGAAAGTGTGTCTGTTAGACGCATCAATTAAACTTCTTGTCACAATTTCCCCCGTTACGTTTGATAAAACTACCGGAATCTCCCGGCGAAATATTTTCAATTCTCCGTTTCACTCGCGGGTTCGACTTTTTCGTTATTTTTCGTTATTACCGGAGAAGGAATACGTATCGCGACGCGCAATTTTCGTTGTTCGCTAACGTGTATATTAATCCCAGATGCCTAGACGACGAGAGAGATCAGAAGTTAAGTGCAACTGCGGGAGGAATTTAATGCGAAACACGGATAAAGGGTAATATGTAATATGGTAATATCTCTAGATGAGAGTCCGTGTACCCATGAGCTATAATTTCACGGTGGAAAGTTTGTCTCGGATTTCGGTTACGGTTTCCTAGTGTACACTGTTTCCTCTGTGCAAATTTCCGTCTCACCAAATATAGAGACAACGTTTGCATTAAACGGCGGGGCGAGTTTGCAATTTGCGCTTGCCGTCTTATTAAACGTTGCCCGGGCAAATTAATCACGTAGAGCGGATCTTCTTGAAAGCGAAAGCTATTCGATCAGCCTATTTATCACGACAGCCTGGATGGCCTCGTTTATTGGCACGCGATCTTTGTCACGTCAGACAAATCACTGTACACGCTGAAACAAGGTTTCTCGGTAGAAATCAAAGTTCAATCGCGATTCCACAACACCCACGACCCTCTCTTTGTTCCGTTGCTCGTTAGACATGCAAAAATTCGATCGACCTACAACCTCCAGGAAGAGGCGAAAGTCATTCTTCCACCTATTTTGTATCGCTCTACGTCCATTAAGATAAGAGGAGAAATTTCAGAAATGTTTGAGAATCGAGGATTGCGTAAGGAACGTCGTCTTCTGAAATGAAACTTTAGGTGAAAATAATGTATTTCGTTCGAATAATATTCACACGATTCCATATACTTCTCCCAAATGAACCTAGTTCTATTGTTCCAAATTTATAAAAATCATCGAATGTGAAACATTCTTCGAATTCTGCTTTTATAGTGTCTTCATTTCGGAATAATTTATTTGTTAGAAAAATTGTTCAGGTGTTTGAAGAAATGGTAATCTGGTCTTCCTCTTGGCTCATTTTAGTCATCGATCCTGAATTTCGTACACTAACGTTCGAGTGTTCTAATATTTATGTACATAATTTTCTTCAAATGCTAAATTTATATTTTCAGCAGTTTTTACCGTAGTTTCTCCAAGTTAAAAAAATTACGCGAATATCCTTATTATCCATCATGTCAGATCAAATCTAACGTCCAAGCAATTATATTATGAATTTTTCTACCATTCGATACGCGTGTACTACAGCAAATTCCTGCTTCGCTATTGTGCATAAAAATTTATAAACGGACGAAATTTAATATCCGCCAATTTGAACTGTTGAAAAAAGGAAATTTCATTTGCACCAACCTAACACACGCACATACATACACACGCAATTTCCTCTTATTAATTTTTAATTGTTCTTTCCTTTTTCAAAGCACTTTCGAACGGATAGTAACGTGCTCCTCGGGAGAGGCATATTAAAAAAAAAAAATGCAATTATGACCATTCGCGTTGAAATGAGGAAGACATTGTAGCGTTACAACAAATGTATAATGGAAGCGTGTCGTTTCTTTTTAGAAGGTCTTAAACATAGAGATTGCTTTGAACCGCTTTGAATTTTACTTTCGCCGCGAACCTTTTTTCTCTCCAACAACCGCTTCTTTCGCTGCTTTCTTGTTCCTGCTTCTGCACACACGCATCGGACACCTATGAATAACACCGCGCGTTCAGTTATGCTCGTTATCGTAAAGAACCTCACCGGAAAAGATGGCCGTGAGTGCCACGCGAAAGCAATCGTTAAAGCGAGTCCTTGCACTTCTTCTATCAAACTGTACAGGCAATTAACTCTACCGGCTTCGTCAATTTCTTCTGCCACATTTTTATCAAACACCAACGATCACACAGCCGCAAGAATTTTCTATTGTCAGCTGTGAGCCTTTGCCTCGTCAGGTATGTCGGTCAAATGCGAGATTAAAATTTGTAGACGAAAAAGAAAAAAAGAAAAAAAGACGCGTAAAAAGAAAGAGACAACCGTGTCGGTCGTTTCTGAAACTTTCTTTTAGAGCGCCTTCTTCTGTTTCGTTTCGCCGCAAAGTAGGAGCATCGTCGATCAATTCGACGAACGGTAGTTCGACTTCAGAGAAGATTCGCAAAAAAAGCGGTCCGAGCTGTCGAATATTTAATGAGATTGGGAGGAGGAAGCGGACAGGCGTTCACCGTAAAATTTCCTATTTTTTTCGAATGCATTTCAGCAACAAGCCAGATCTCCTCTTCCTCCTTTTACAACGTCCAGCGATTACCGAGATCATCTCTATGCCTTACTTTCGCCCAGTCTCTTTCGCGTACTCCGCGGTACTTTTTTCATCTTTCGTCTCGCTGCTATGCTAATACAGCGCTCGTCCCAGACGAAGAAACACCTGGCTGGTTCGTTGCAGATCCTCGAGCATCCGACAATTACCTCATCACCGTGTGCTAGGCTCGGTGCTCGTCTTAACGTCGGCCGTGAGCTCTTCCGCGGCGCTCGCTTTGGAAGAGATTGGAAAAACCGAGAGTGAAAGTCGACTTTGAACTTGGCTTCTTTACTTTTTTTTCTCTCATTTTTCCGTCTCCCACGTTCGTAGTCCCGTTTGCGAAATGGAAACTCCGCCATCCCTTTCGCCTTTCCACGATACATTTCGAGCACACTCATTGTCAGCCTACCGATACACGATCTCGTCTTACCATCTAAGAATTTCGTGCTCTCCAATTGCATTCACTTTTCTCCCGTGAATGTACAGTTTTTTTCTTCTCTCTCTCTCTCTCGTTCTTTTTTTTTCATTCTTTTCGTTCGCCGGACTCGATTTCTGCACAGTCGAATTTACGAAGGTCTCTGACAGAGGAAACGAATCGTTATGATTACTTTCGCCGCTGGTGCTTCGAACACGCGACATTCTCCTTTCTCCTCTGCTGTCTCGCCCCTCTCGTTGTCGTGAAACGCTGACCAATAGTGGTAACGGTCTGTTAACGTAATATCTTAACAAAGAGCTTTCCGTATTCACCGGCATAATCGCCAGGACGAAATTACTCGAATCGATATATACGTATATGCTTAACTTGTGTAATTAAATTAATTTCATGGACATTTTAATTTCATGGATAATTAGAGGGCGAATTGACAATCTAGGATAATTTTCCAGTGCAATGCAAGGGGGTTAATGAAGCGTCGACAGCGATACTCGTTATTGATAATTGCGTTTATTAATAAATAACATGGTTGTACAAAGTAATAGGAGTGAAATGTGTAACGTAACGAAATAAATATCGAACGATACAATTAAATTTCACGCGAAAACAATACGCCGCTGCGGTAACAATCAACAATGCGATTCCACGCTTTTGCAACTAATGCCCTTTCGCGCTGTGCACCACCGTTTTGTACACCGGGATCTTGATTGGAATAGGCTTCGACACAGGCACAGGTATATGCTTCACCACTTGGAACGGGACTGGCTTCACAATTTTCACGGGAATGATCTTCTCGATAGGCGTTGGCACTTTCTTCTCCACCTTGGTGAACACTTGCCTCTCCACCTGCGAACGGAGCCACAGCTCAGTCAGGCATACTAGACACCGTACGAATTTCGATCGCGTAACGACATTTCAATGGTAAACCGTTCACCTGGTAAGGAACTGGTTTCGGGACGATCACCGGAACTGGATACGATTGTGGAACACCTTGGACTTGCGGAGTAGGCACCAGCAATGGAACCTTCTTCACCACCGGTATCCCTGTAATAAATAAACTCAATGTAGCACACAGTTCTCCGAAATTCAGTCGAAAGTTAATCACGTACCGATTGATTTCACAACGGGTATAAAGTGTCCTCCTCCTCCTCCTCCATGCCCTCCACCCAGGTATTCTTCTCCTAGATGTCCCCCTCCCAGATGTCCCCCGGCGTATCCTCCGAAGCTAATCTCGTGACCTTCTGACCCTGTTCGTACAATCAGATAAAACACGATCCTGTGGTAACGTTAGACCGTATAACCTGAGGAACACGATATTGAAACATCGATCGGACCTAGGTCGATCAAATCGAGATCTCCGCCACCGTGACCCACGTCGATCTCCCCTAGAGTCAATCCGTGACCGCCTAATTCCAATTCTCCGGCCAAGCAGGAGGCGACAATTGCCGAAATGACGATCTTGAAAAGAGAGAAACACCGAAGTGTAGTAACCTCGGAGAGAGGCGAAGTTCCACTTAATCAGGGTTACCGATTACTAGCATGATTATCATTAGAGAAACATCACGTACGAGCTTTTCCATGTTGCTCTGTTTCAGCGCATATGTATGCCTGGTGAATAAAAGATCAACTTGAGACGATTCGTCGAGGTAGTCAGTTTATATAGGTGCTCTGAAAGAGAGACATGCAACCCCACTATCCCATGAAATTCTATTCGACACCTTCACTGCGAGGGCTGTACATTTCTCTGTTCTTCTGAACACTCTGTGTTTGTGTGTGTGTGTGTGTGTGCCTGTCGGAACGATTGCGTAACACAGGATTTCCGTGTTTCATCAAACTTCACGATGAGCAACTTGACTCGAACTTCCGCTCTCATTTCGGCTCGTTTTCTTACTCTCATTAAGCAACTTGATTGCATACCTTTCTATCGTTCGTCCGGGGCCACGATCAAAGGCAGATACTTTGTGTACGTTAGATAAATTTCACGGTGAATCGACGGCGGCAACCGCTTCCTGCTTCCTGATACCGGTTAGTCGCCTGACGTATTAATTGGACGTAAAGCATCTTGATGCTAGGGTACCTTGGATAATGATCATGAAAGTGTAATGCAAAAACGCAACGCTGAAAGTGAATACTACGGTATCGTAAGCATCGAGGTAAGTGGAATATTTGTTTGTAATCTTCGCGAAGAAATGCGAAATGTACAGCTTCGTCTTTTAACACAACGTAGCCGTACAAATTCGTGGAATTTACAACTTCAGCGCGTGAAAATTCATTTGCATCTACTTCGGTTGATTGTGAAGTTTACAGATTTTGCGGAATTGTACGGTCGTTGCTCGACAGTATCGATAAAAAAAAAAAAAAAAAGGGGGCGACCACTGTGCTACTTCCTGTGAAATTTCATCTATCCAGAATAGCCTCGTAACGGCAAGGATTACCCCGTCGATTACCTCCGTGAACTTCCTTTGTCTCCATGGCTCATTTACGCCGATCAGCTGCTCCCTTCCACCCTGAACTAGCTCATTCGCAACGCTCACTTTCCACTGGAATCTGTAGCCGATGTATCAAAAATACCAGTGAAAGTTTCGATTATGACTTCGAACGCGTTAACTCGGTTATACCAGCGGGGTACGACGACCGCTTCGATCTACCGTACACGTACAATCCACACAGCGAGCCGTGGAAAAACTGTTCAGATCCTCTAATCCTGCGTGGAAAATTTCTCCGACCGAACGGTTATTATCGGATTTCTCTTTAAAGATGTATCGACAGCTTTTCGAATCCCCAGCTCGCAATTGCCCGTACCACGAACTTTATCTTCGATAATGAGATATCGTTATGATCGAAACAGCGATCCAATTTCATACCTGCTACGATACGAGTAAATCGATTACCATATCGATGATATCAACTTTGTTTGTTTTTTTCTCCGCGAAAAGAACTGATAGACGTATGGGATTACTTTTCTTAGCATTTTATTGAAAAACAAAGAATAGTAACATCTATATAAAATTAAAAAAAAAAAAGCGTACATCGATAACAGTGTTCAACATATATACAAAAAAGGGGGTAAACAATAAACGCAGTTATTTCAGCCTCAACAATAGAGCCCTCCGCGATTCAATCGGAGCTTTTTCGACGGTTCAGTCGAGCACCGAATAAAAGCGGAGAACGTGCGTAGAGTCGATTCTCATCATCAGTCGGTTGGATCGTTCTCTAAACAAGTCGCTAATTTTTAGTGCTTCTTCGCGTGGTGGTAGATCGTTTTGTAGACGGGGATCTTGATGGGATACGGCTTGATCACCGGCACCGGTATGTGTTTCTCGATCGTGATGGGAATAGGCTTCTCGACGGGCACTGGAATATGTTTCTCCACCGGGAATGGGACCTTCTTCTCCACTGGAACAGCCACCGTCTTTATCACTTGCACCGGTACCAATTTTGGGACCGGATGAGCCACTGGATATTGCTGGGGGACGCCAACTGGTACCGGATGGGGCACTGCTATTTTCAAGATCTGAGGGACTGGTACTCCTACGAGAGAGAGAGAAAGAAATATTCGTTGATAAATGCAGAAGATTTATGGAGTGATGTATGTAGTTTTCGAATTAGCTTACCGATGTGTTTGATCACTTTGACAGGCACAGGTTTCGTCACCTCGACATGCTCAGACACGGGAACGCTTTGCACCACGCTGTGGCCTCCGTCGAGTGAAACACCCTCGTCTCCACCTTCGTATCCACCTCCTAGAGAGGAATAATCCGAGCCCAAGTGGTCACCACCCGACTCCAATTGTCCTCCGGAGGATCCCTCGAAACCTCCGCCGTGACCTCCGCCAAAGTCACCGCCGTAACCGCCGGAAAGCTCTCCGCCGCCATAATCACCGCCGCCGTAGCCGCCGCCGTAGCCGCCG